TTTTGGAAGGTAATAAACACTAAAGACAATCAGCTGATTTTTCCCAGTCAACCAGTGTAGTACGAGATATCTTTTAGGAGCAAAATACTTGTTTGAGGTGTGGAGCCCGGGTTTAGACTGTGGAATGGATGTTAGGTGCTTACGTTGGAGATAAAAGCAAGCTACAAGAACTCTCACCATGCATGCCCCCCCTTTCTACTGTTTTATGATTTTTTTTCTGCTATAAATTCTTTCTCATTTCATACTCCTTTCCATTTGTGTCAAGATTCTTTCTGTCATCTATGGAGGGATGTAATCAAACTATGGATCACCTAGTTAGAGAAATTTCTATAAACTTATTTATCATTTAATCATCTGCTGCTTACCTAACAGCTAGCTAACAAAAAGGAACACTAGTGGCATTGTACATAATGAGCTGAGCTGCGAATCTAAAGGCCAGTGGTTGGAACCCAGCAGCCAATCCTGAGGAGAAGATGCGCAGTCTCTCCCATGAAGACTTAAAGCCTCAGATAGCTGAGGGAAGGACACTGTGAGTCAGAATTGACTCAGAAGCAGTGAAAAGTAGATAGTTTCATTAGCTACCTATCATCTATTTACCTCTTATTTAACTATTAATATACCTTTCCTCCTACCTTTCCTCTATTTAAACCTAGATCCAGGCTTTTCTACCCCTGGTTTTATCTGCTCATCACTAAAATTAGCAAACCAAAAAGCCAGTTTCTGTATACACACAACATGCATCATTCCTTAGTGACAATTTTAAACTACTCACTATCTTCTGTGTGGATGGTTTCACTTCTTCATGGGTGAGATCATGCAAGAGGGATCACATAACATTTCTTCTTTTGTGTCTAGCTTCACTGAGCGTGTTTTGATGGTTCATTCACTTACAGGTAATATAAGAACTTCATTCATATCTCCTTATGACTGAATACTAAATCCACTGTATCTGTTTAGACAGGGCATATAGCTAGTAGGGAGCTTCCCTGATAACCTAGAAGTTGAGCCTCTCTGGCAGTTGTGATCCACTAGTGTCTCTGTGGAGAAAGATAGAAAGTCTCCTCCTGCATGATTTACAGCCTCAGAAACCCCGAAACCCCCAGAGTATCAGCTATGAGTCTGTTCTGATTTGACGACAATGAAACAGAAGTGGTATATTTATACCACATCTTGTTTATGAATCCATCTGTTCATAGGCATTAGGGTTGTTTTTACCTAGTCATTTAGTTTTTAGGCTCAGGGTTGAAAATAGCAGGTTCATAAGACGACAACCCCCTTCCTTCCTCCCTCCTCCTTACTCTATTAAAGGCACTGCCCTGCAATTCATTCAGTTTTTAAAAAGATGAAAATACAAAATCATAGTGTGATTTTCCCCACCCCCAAACAGCTTTTGAGCAAATGTTGGGATATAATATGGAGATGCTTAACCAAGGATTCTGGGTTAAAAGAATTCCATTAAAGACCAATACAGTCTTAGCAAATTCATGGAAAGAGAAATAAAAGTGAAGGAAAAAGTCTTTGTCTCTAAGTGATTATGAGAAACAGTCACTGGAAGTTTACAGTCAGAGCTTAAAACAAACAAACAAAAGGTCCACATATAAACAAAACCCCCACTCTATTACACCAAGCCTTCCTGAAGTATTCTTGAAGCAACTGGCCACAGGCAAGCTTCTATCTGGCACATGCAGGCATGATGATTCAAAAGCTGGGCATTTCAAAGTGTCAAATAATTTCATTTTACAGGGCAGTGATTTACCTTAATATTTACATAACATCATTTCCATGGTGATCTAAATGCAGTCCAGAAGCAGCAGCTTGGCAGCCCCTGCCAACTTGTTAGACAGGCAAATGCCTGGACCCCGCCTCAGACTTCAAGTTTGAGAAGTGTTGAGGGAAGAGCCAAGAACTTCTGTTCTAGAGCAAGGCCAGGCTCTCAGAGAATGGCCCAGGTTTCCTCAGAAAGGACAAAGCTCTTCACACTATTCAGTCAAATTTCAAATTTCTGAATCTGAAAGACCCAGTTGTATTTTCTGGGGCCAATATAATATGATTTCATAGAAAGATAATACACATCCTCTTATTTATGTGTTTTATGTCATGCTTAAAAATTGTGTTTCCAGTTACTGTCACTGAGTCAATTCTGAGCCATAGCAACCCTGTTGGATAGAGTAGATTTGTCCCATTGGGTTTCCAAGGCTGATCTTTATGGAAGCGGACTGTCACATCTTTCCCCCATGGAGTGGCTGTGGGCCTGTCAACCAGGGTAACTATCAACATGTATATTTAAAACAAATTTGTCACATACACTGATCCAGGGTTTCTAGAAGGTATAGTAAGGCCAAAACCACATTCCCTGCATCTGTTTGCTTTTCTATCTTTCTTTCTCCTTCTTCTAATGCTTCATCCACTTCCATTGTGTCAATCTTGTCCCATTCCAATGACTTTTAGCCTCTCCAGCACCCATCTCTCATTTGGGCATCATATCCACTGCCTCCTTCTCCTACACTGTAGTGTTCCAAAGCCTCTCAAATGTGCCACACCATTATGGCAGAGGAAGGTGGAAGAAGGTGACCCTGGGTCACAAATAGCTATCTAGAATGTGTGGCTAGGTAGAATTTGTGAAATGACTGAATGAAGAATATTTTTTTTAAAAAGGTGGTTGAATAACCATCTGTTATAGATTGAAATATGTTTGGACCCTAACCAATATATTTTATATTTTACACTGTAATCTAGTGTAATGTAATGTCATGTAATAATCTTCTAAAATGCAAAGCAAAACAATGCAATAAGTAGAAGGACCGAAGCATAGGGTGGGTCCTAAATCTAATAACGTTTCGGTTATAAAGAGCAGATTAGATACATAGACATTTGAACACACATTGGTGGGGGAACCACATGCCATGTGAAGATTTTAAAAAACCAAGGAGGCAAAAGGACAAAGATTATATGGTGCCACTGTTGTAGAATGGGGCTGACATCAGGGTGGGGGTAAGACTGAGAAAAACTGGATAAATTATATTTACTGCATTGAAGCCGATGAGGGAGAGAATAATTTAAAAGTAATATATTTTATGGCATTATGATTATAATAAGAGTCTGGAATGAGGGTTGCAGAGTGGAGTATACTCGGGGTGTGGGTGGGGGTGTATGGGGGTATTGTATACCAATGAAGGAGTTTTTCTTTTGCTTTTCAAGGAGAAGAGCAAACTGGGGTGGGGGTGGGGTAGGCGGGGAGAAAAGTACAACAATGAATGAATGGAAATCCAAAACCTCTGTAGATGTTCATTGACATTAATAAAAAAATAAAGTAATAATAACAATAAAAAAACCCCACAAACAAACCAAGGAGGGCTGTAGACTACCAAAAGAAAGGAATCCACATGGCTGAGACCTCAATTTAAACTTTCCATTTCCAAAATGTAGATGTCGGCTTTTTTTTTTAATTTTTAAAATTTTTTTTTACAGAGGTTTTGGATTTCCATTCATTCATTGCCGCAATTTTCTCCCTGCCCACCCCTCCCCACCAGCTCGCTTCCCCCTCCGAAGAGAGAAAAAAAAAAGAAAAACATTCCTTCATTAGTATCCAACTTGTATCCTGGAGGAGGTGCAGCCAGGAGGCTTCTCAGTGGCAAGGATGGTGAAACTGCATCTCACTGCCTTGTACACAGTGTCAGGAGGGGCTAGGTTTTAGAAAAAGACATGATGCTGAGAAAAGCAGAGGGTCAGTGAAAGCGGGGAAGATCCTCAGGGGAATGACCTGACAACAGTGACTGCAACCATAGGCTTCAGTATAGCAGAGACTGTGAGGATGGTGCAGGATAGGGCAGCGTTCAGATCTGTTGTTCACAGGGTCACCATGAGTTAGAATTGATTTGGTGGCATCCAACAACAACAACAAAAACAACTATTACTTGAGGTGTTTTTGTAACATCAGCACTGGAGAACTAAGACACCATCTAAGGGCCACATAGTGGCTACTTTAATTCTTATATAACAATCATGTGCAAACAGAACTCTGTGCTGTAATTTTTGGTTGCTTTTAGCTAGTTTACACAATTTTCTTGCCTATCAAGAAGCTCTTTTGAACCATTTCCCAAGAACATCATTAGAGGGGCTCTCACCTAAGCCTGTGATATTCCACAGACCCTTTCCTAATGCGTGATGTTACCAGTGAGGAAAAAGTGTCCACTTTTATAAAGAATGTGGGGGCATGGCACAGAGCCGACCTCTGAGGAGACAAAGCATTCAAAATCTGAACTTGGCCCCCAGGTCATGATGATAGTGTTGAGGTAAGAGAATAGAACGTATCTTGTTTAACATTTTATAGCTGATTTATAACTTTCAGATATTCTCTCAAGGTTTCTCAACCTCTTTAGTACTGATGTTTTTAGCTGGGTAATTTTTGTAGTAAAGGCTGTCCTGGTCATTGTAGGATGTTTAGCAACAATCTTGACCTATTCACTGGATAACAAGGGCACTCCTTTCAGTTGTGACAAACAAAAGTGTCTACTAAAATCAAATCCGTTTCATTTGAGTCGATTCCAATTCAGCGACTCTCCCGCCCACGGGGATGCAAAGGTTTCCATGCCCATAAATCTTTATGAGAGGCTCCTCTTTTTCTCCTCGAAGCAGCTGGTAGATTTGAACTGTCAACTTTTTGCCACACATATGTACTATGCCACTAGGGCACCTTAAAAATGTTTACAGACATTGCCAAACGTCCGCTGGGGATGGGGACAACATCATCCCAGCATAGAAACATGGATTTTGTTCCAGGTCTCAGAATTGTTGGGACTGCTGGTTTCAAGCTATGTGATCTTGATTATCTTTTTTTCATTTCTGGGCCTCAGTTTCCTTATCTGCACTTCATGGTAATCAGATGAGCACTCCTCTTAAAATTCATCTCTGCATCAAGATGCTGCTACCAGTTGGGTCCCTTCCTCCCATCTTGGCCAAGCGCTCCCTCCAAGGGGGCGCTAAGCTTGGGTAACACTCACCTGTTTAAGAAGATGCTGCTGACGTCATCGTGCGTGATGGGGGGCTTCTTCGAACTGGCGGCCATGCGCAGGGGGCGTAGGAAGTTATTGACGAGAATGTGCAGTTGCTGCACGTACTCGGCCTCGGCCTCCAGCATGCTGAACACCACCTGGTTGCGCTTGCGCATGCTGTCAGCATGTGGGGACCGGATGTAGTCCTGGATGATGGTCTTCCACTTGCGCCTGCACAGCCAGCCCCGCAGGAAGCTCTGCACCTGGGCACCCAGACGGATGGAGAAAGTCCTCCGTTAGTCCCGGTTTCTGTCCTCCTTACAGGCTGTGGGCACCTCATAAACAGGGACCAAAGCCCTGTTATCCTTCAATGTTGCTACACGGTGTCGCCATCTGTGTTCTGCTGGAGTCCTGGTAGCACAGTGGTTAAATGCCCGGCTGCTAACCGAAAAGTTGAACCTACCTAGTGGCTCTGTGGGAGAAAGACCTGGTGATCTGTTTCCATAAAGACTGTTGTTAGGGAGCTGTCAAATTGATTTTGGCACAGTATGTTAGAAAAAGAGTTGGGAATGAGAGAAAGATAGAAACTGGTCCCAAGAAATGAACAGGCTTTTATTGCATGGTCTGAGAGGGACGCCCAGTCACTAGGAGCAGAGAAAGTAAAAATGGAGTGTCTGCAATTGGTGGCAGTATTTTTAAAAATAGGGGTCTTGGGGAGGGCTAGGGAAGATGGTACCCTTTGGAATTTAGGGCCATTAATTAGCTTGAGTCTGGGCTTTTGTGATCAGGCCAAGAGCCTTATCATGATTTATTATTTGGTCTGGACTTTGTCGTGGTGGCTCTTGACCCTTCCAGGTTTCTCAGGGAGTGATCAGGCCTGAGGGCAACTGCTATATTTTTCCTCTCTGCTAGGTAACTCTATATATCAGAGAGGAACTGCCACATCGAGTTTTCTAGGCAGTAATCTTCACGGAAGCAAATTTCTAGGTCTTGTCCCCATAAAGTTGCTAGAGGGGATTGAACTGGCAACCTTTTGATTAACATCTGAGTACTTAAACAGTTATGCTACAAGAGATCCTTCTCATAAAGACTACAGCCTAGAAAAAACCCTATGCAGCAGTTCTGCTCTGTCATGTGAGGTGGCTATGAATTGAAATTGACTTGATTGTTCCTAAAGGCTGGGGGTTTAAACCCACCAAGAGGCAATGAGGAAGAAAGCCCTGGTGATCTGTCTTTGAAAGATGATGAACAGCAAACTATATAGAGCAGTTCCATCCTGTAACAACATATGGTCAACCACGGAGAAAGAGCTCAGTCATGGATGGGGCCTGGCTTGGTAAAATGGGGCCAATGAGATTATAGCTGGAGTCAAGGTGTGGTCCCTGGACCAGCAGCACAGCATCTCTCTAGAAGAGCTTGTTAGGAACGGGGATTCTTAAACCCAGCCCAAGATTTACTGGATCAGATTCTGCATTTTAACCAGGCTGCATTAGAAGCATTTGCTGAAGGAGGGGAGTTTGACCCACACCGCTCTATGAGAGGCAGCTTGAGGATAGAGGATCAGGCTGTGCTAGGCACAGCTCACACCTTATCTCTTCTAGTGACTCTCCTGAAAGCCCAGAAGCTTCAATTAAAGCTCATCTGGAGAGAGGGCGATTATCAAATTGAACAGAACATAGCAAATGAGTTAATCTCATGCTTGGGCTTCATCAGTGGCTTCTGAGAGCTGGCACCTTCCCAGAACCTCTTCTCTTGCCTCAGTGGGGAAATGCCACAACACTTGACTCCTTGTCCTGGACTCAGGCTGCTTGGAGTGGCCTCATTTTGGCAAAGATTTGGGAAAAGTCTTAGTTTCACATAGTTTCACAGAGGAAGGCTTTAAGATGCACACACTTCCAGCCAAGGGGCCACCTGGCTTCTTGACACTCTCACCCTGAGCTGTGTGCAAGCTCAGGGTCCACTGAGGGTGGGACGTAGTGCGTGGGGAGCAATTGGAGCAAGGTGGATCAAGCTGGGGTGGAAATGTGCGGATTCCTGGTCTGAGGATCACCTGTTGGGTGACCAGGTGGAATGATAATAAAAATATCAGCTAAGAGGGGTGCCATAGCAGCAGACAGAAAGCTGACAACAGGCTGGGGGTGTTCGCTGTGGAGAGGGGAGGCTTGATCAGAATCCAACAGCCACCCTCAAAGATGTCTCAAAGAGGACGGGGTTTGCTCTGAGGCTCTGTGAAGCAGCTGTAGTTCCATCAAGACTCATGGTGACCCCATGTGTCTCAAACTAGAACTGCACCCTATAGAGCTTACAATGGCTGATTTTGCACAAGCACCCTTGGGTAGATCCAAACCTCCAAGCATATCAGCCAGCAGCTGAGTGTGTTAACCATTTGCACCACCCAGGGATTCTCAAATAATGAAATCAGAGTGATGGGAACTGAATTACAATTGTTTGTTGTGTGGGGTTTTTTAAATTTTTTTTGTCTTTTTTTTTTTTTTTAAATGCTCTAACCAGAATGGCTGCTAAAAGCTGAACTCAGGCCTCCCTCATGGGTAGCAAATTAAAATACTTTCATAAGCCCAGTGTGTCCTACAGAAGTATAAAGCCAGCTTGATGAGGACACGATGGGCAGTTAACTCCTACACTGTGGTCATTTGCCGGAAGTGGACTAGGGCTGCTGGACCTTCTGCTTCTCCAAGAGCCTGTATAGCCCAGCAGCTGAAGATGTGAGTCCTGGAAGTGGACAGCCAAGCTGTGAACATGACTCTGCAAATACTTAGCTGTGTAACCTTGGACAAGTCATTGCATCTGTGACCTGTATGTGAAGCAGAGACAGTTATAAATCCCCCCAGAGTTTTCAGTGAAGACTCAATTAATCTCCACAAACTCCTAGAATAGTGTCTGGCACATAGAAAGTGCTTAATTAATGTTAGCTATTCCTACTCTCGAGAGGAATCAGAAATCCAGATTTTTTCATGTGAGATGTTTAGCTTTTAAAACACAGACAACAAATTTAAAAAGACCTAGCCAAAAAACTTCTATGTGAACCTAATGGGCTGAAGTGGGGCCCTAGAATGCTAGCTTTCAGCTTCTGGTCTGGGTGCTGTGGTGGGGGATGGTGGTGGCAGCAATTTTGTGTCTCAGTAAGTAGGACCTTCTGGTTTAATTTGTTTTTCCTCAGGATGAACTGGACTCCCTTGTGTATAACTCGCAAGCTATATCCCCAAACCATACTCTATCAACCCGTACCAGGAGAGCCCATACTGCTGCTGGGTGGGAACTCCCCTTGTAACTTTTAAGATGTTTGCCCCTCTGGACTCTGAATCAAATCCAAACTATGAGGCCAACTATAGGAATCCCTGCTGAGGCCTGCTGGGCACCACTGGGTGGTTTGCATGACTGTGGGGATGAGGACCAGAAGTCAGAGTGCAGGACGATGGCACTGGGTCTTGCTGAGGAGAGATCTCAGCTATGAGCTATGAGACTTGGCCCCCACCCTGGCTCTATTTACTCCTTTCTCTAATAGAGCCTTACTTTTCTTACCTCTAAAATGGGGCAGAATTACCTTACTTCAAATTAATCATTAGGAATAGCTTGACAAAGTGATATTCAGGCTAAGGGGCAGCTGGTTCTGTCAGTGGGGTGGAGGGTTGGGTGGATGGCATGCCTTGTGTGCAGTGGGATAGTGTCAACCCTGGGGTCTACCAGGAGGCCCTTTGGGATCATCCTGCCGATCCAGGGGGCTGGTACAGACCTTCTTAATTTTCTTGATGTCACTGTCTTCATCATTGGGGGTGACGGTCTGGGTGGACTGGATGCGCTCATTGTCCTTGAGCAACGATGCAATCTACAATAGAAACACCGGTCAGGGGCTGAGAAGGGCACCAGCAAGCAGGGTGCCACCCTTGGGCCCATTAGCTGGCTTGTCACAGCGAGGAGGATCCTGCCTCTTGTCTCCCTCTCAGGCTGATCTCTCAGTGAGCCCTCTGCTCTGTGTGTCTGGGCTGTTTAGGCAGACAGACTCAGGACATCTGTGAGATGGTGGGCACTGGACTGGGAACTGGCCCAGCAGGTTCTGGGCCTGGCTGAGCTGCCTGCTAGCAGGGTGACCATGAGCAAGGCCCTTTGCTTTCAGACATAGGTGCCTTAATTGTTCACCTCAGCACTTCAGCCTAAATCTGTGAGTCCCCCCTGCCTCTGAACTCTTACCTTTCCCCCATCTCAAATCACTAGTTCTTTTATTTTTAAACAAAACCTTACCCAGAACCTGAACATGTAAATGAAAGAAAAATGTATGGCTTTGGATGAAAGCCTGTTTACTTGACCCCTGGATAGCCCCAAAACATTTCTCAGAGTTAGCTGACTTTTGTTTTTCCTTCTCTTTCTTTTTTTAAAATTTCCATTCATTTATTGTACTTTTCTTCCTGCGAGTTAGATGCCTTTTTAAACCATAAGGTGAAAACTATGGGCCTAGAGCAATGATGAAATAGGTCTTAGGAGAAATACCGTCAGAATGCTCCTGAGAGGCACTGATGGTGAAACTTGGGTTCTCTTACTTTGGACACTTCAACAGGAAAGGCTAAATACTACAGAAAGGACAACATGCTTGGCAGGCCAGTGGGCTAGGGAAAATGAAGGAAGCCCTGGATGAGACAGCTTGACCCAATAATACAACAGAGGACTTGAACTTTCCAATGGTCAGAATGGTTGCAAAGGGCTGGGCATTGTTTTGTCCTTAGGTGAAGACATCCTGAGTTAGAGCCAAATGGATGGTAGAAAACAAGAATGAGCCACGTAGTAGTAGTCCTTGGCATGAACTTTAAGCTTCTCTAAAAATCCCTATTTGTCTGATTTGGGCCTCACAGGGGTTGGCATAGTTACACGAACAAAGCAGGATGATTTCCAGGAGAAGGAATACTTGAAGCTGTATTGTGGTGGGTGTGTTAGGGTCCCTCAGATAGACAATCAATCCCCATCGATTCTGCATGCCTTTTCTTTGTTGGCTGCCCTTCCAGGGCCTCTCTTGGTATTCTGGTCTCTCCCAGAAAGTGCTGGACTTGCCTAATCACTTTTCCATCTCTGCTGGGAACTCTGTGGGTGAGGGGACTTCAACTCTTTAGGTCATCGATGCACTCCTGTGCCCAGCCCATGGCCTGGCCTGACCCACACCAGAACTTGTTAGATATGTTAATAAATGAATTTAAAAATCAGAATAACAGCAGTAATGGAAACCTCCACCGAAGGAGAACTCTGCAGACCATGAGGCCTGTGTCTAAAGATAGCAAGTCAGGGGATTCTACAAACACTGGATCAAGCTGGTCTCCACTGCCTCTTCAGAACACGTGGCTTTGTCCCCTCAAGGCCACTTGCTGAACCGCAGAATGAATGGACTCTCACAATTGAGTGCATCGAGCACTTGGAAAGCAAAATGGACCAGTTACCCTCTCTCTGTTCTCTGGTTGCTAAAATTACCCCTGCCTCTGCTTGAAGAGTGGCTGAAAATATCTGAGAAATATTCGGTGCAGAGAAGGGCTTTTCTTCCTCTCCTTTTTAAAAATACTCTGAGAACATTTGCACATTGAAATAAAGGCTGATTCTTTGATATTTACTCTGAAGGGCTAAGGGACACAAACACATGTGCATGTGTGCACTTGCATAAACACACATCCAAACACACACTCATCCAAATGCTGGGATGCCCACTCAACGCTGCCACCTTTGTTTGGGTAGCTGATTATCACTTCCAAGGTGGCCTGCTTTCTTCAGGAGTGCTGTGATTTGCTGTGATTCACACATACTTTTCTCTTTAGGATGGCGGAGCAGGGAGTCTGTATTTAAAATTGACAGCATTCTTCTCCAAGAAAGGCATTCCAGGACATCCACTCAGCAGGGACCAGGGTAAAAAATAGATGCAATTAGGTCAGACGCTTCGCTACCTGCACAGACAAGACCAGCAGCCTTGGAGTCTTAAAGATCAGGCTGAGAGGGCAAAGATGTGCACTGGTGAACACAAGGACCTGCAGAAGTCTTGAGCAGAGCACCTTGCTCTGAGTGTGAAGGCCATCTTTGCTAGAAGCCAGTGCCAAGGTGACTGTGGGATCCTTAGGCTTCAGTAGGCTCATACAGGTTACCTTTCTTAACCTTGACTGGTGCTTTAAGGGCATGCATTTGCTTTAGATCTTGGTGTATTTGGTGGATAGCCAAGCCTAGCTAGTTCAGTTGACTCATCAGTGATGGCTGTTAAGGGATTGACCTTTGCCTTCTACCCCAGTGAATGGGCTGAAGTCCTGCTCTGGCTATCTGAGGCCATGCTGGGCTCAGTGTGTGACATCTGGTCTGGCCCCTGCCACCTGCTACCCGAGATTGCCTGTCTGAGGCAAATGCTGATTTGCCACAGCCCTTTTGGGTGCTGCACATTTGTTCCTGCTCCACCCTTTCTGGAGAGACTCTCTTTAATCTGGAATGTGTTTGCTCAGTGCAATAATTGATGATGAAATGAATTCTGTCCCCTGCCCCCCACTCTGTTAGCAGCTAAAGCTTTGCTAAAGACGTCTGCTTTTCAAAGAGCTGTTGCTCAGCTCGGCTCTCTCTCCTTCCTTTTTGATCCCCTCAAGTCTCCTCCAAACCCAAGAGACACTCATCTCTATCTTGCTTTGTGCCAACCCCATCAGTGTATGCTAGTGGGCATCATGGGAGGCAGTGGTGAGACACAGCTGGAGCTGGCTGAGGCAGACCTCTGTCCCTGATGATCTGCGATGGTCGTCTGAGAAGGGACTCAGCCATTGTAGTTTATAATCCAAAAAGCAAGACATGCACATACTGCTATGCGAGGGCCTGGAATGAAAGTGGCAAGGAGTTTATAGAATAAGTTTTGAAGACTAAGTAGAAGTTCAACATACAGACTACGGAAAGAAGGGAATTTAAATGGAGTGTGTTAAGGTACTGTGAGCCAGGGATGCAGGTGTGTGGGGTTGGAGGATGGCAGGAAGAGAGGCAGGGATCAAGGTGTGAATGACGGACTCTGCTGAGGAAAGGGGCTGGTTAGGGAGGGACCAAAGCTCTCCTCTCCTACTCCCATATTTACCTGTTCTGTGCATTGGGACTCCATGCCAAAGTGGCTCAGCAAAACAAACCCCATGGATAAATTTTTATTTTACACCCTGAACAAAAGATCATGACATTTTCTTCCAGGTTAACCTTCTGAGTGCTTCCAAGTCAATGAAACATTACAACTATCTCTCAACTCCTTTGCCGCCCCTTTAGAGCCCACCGTCATTCTCCAAATTTACTTCCAGTCATAACTGGTGGGAAACTAGTTATTAAAATGGAAATAGTGCCAAACTGAGCATTCTCAGGGCAGGAGGATCCTTCTCAGGGGTAGATGATTTCCTGGTTTTAGATGGTTCCTTGGTACAGTGCTTGGTTACGAAAGGTGAGGGTTAAGATGGGAAAGAAGAGACTAAGACAAGTGGAATTCTTTGCAAAATAAATTCACAGTGTTGGGGTGTGATCTCCTGCCACCTAGGTAGAGAAATGGCTAGGCTTGGGGTAGTGTCTCGGGTAGAGAGGTCGTAGAGGGAGGGAGAAACAGGTTTTATGGGCATGTGTCTTAGGCAGTTCCATGGAGCTTCATGTTTAGAAGGAACCAATATATGGTTGAGTGCTCTGTTATTATCAGAGCATGTTAAGCCTTTAAAGTTTTAAAGACCCAGCATTTCCATGTTTCACTAGGCCCTGCAAGTTAAAAAACTGGTCCTGAAAAGAGATGTGCAGATGTGTGTTGGTAAATGCTTTAAGGTCAGCTCTCTGGAAGATACACTGACTGGTAGAGTTTGTCAATATGCGTGGTTTAAGTACTCCTACCCCACTAGGCTCATTTCAAGCTACCTAAGGTTTGCTGACCAGCTTGTATATTCTTGGAAAAGTTAGCAATTGGCTCTTGCAAGTGAGGATGGATGGGAGATAGGACATGACTGGATGCAGGGCGAGGGTCTTGGCTGGGAAGGAGACTGTGGACAGCAGCAAGGATGACCAAGGTGAGTGGGAGTGTGTGGGCAGTGGTGATTCAGAGGGAGCATTCTTGCCTTCCCAGTGGGAGACCCCTGCCTCATTCCTGGTCACTGTACCTCATGTACAACCACCACCCATCTGCCAATGGAGGCTGGCACGTTGCTGTGATGCTCAGTATATTTCACTGGAGCTTCTAGACCAAGATGGATTAAGTAGAAAGACTTGACTGGCTACTTCTGAAAATCAGCCAGTATAAGGATCACAACCATTTGATTTCATTATGCATGGGTTACCATGTAGAAGCCAAACTGCTGGTGGTCAAGAAGAGGAAAGATCGAAAAATTTGAGGGTAGAGGTGTCTTCTAGGCATTTATAAGTGATTTTCTATTCTGTGGGTAGAGCACATCTCCATTATATACAAATTTTTTTGAAATACAGAAAGCCCGAGTCACAGGGCTTTTATGATGAAAGAGAAGTACTCAGCTTGGTAGTCATTAGAGCTTTTTCTAGTTCTTCTTGGAAGACAGGGTAGTTTCCTCAGGAGCCTTGAAGTTGGGTGTGCTCATATGACTTGCTTTGTCCTGTGGATGTGAGCAGATTCATAATCCACCATGCGTTTTCCTTCTGCATGTATCTAGAGAATTTCCTAATGGTAGAAGCCCCATCAGATGGGATCCCTGTCTCTGAAGGAGGGTTTTGTGGAGCAAAGCCCTCAGCAGAACTCACAATCCACATATCTAGTGTGATGAAATCAGCTTTGGGTGTTTTAAATCACCAAGAGTTTGAGATTGTTTGAAACATTGTTATGGCATAATCTCTCCATCTTGACAGATAGATATAGGCAGTAATCACTCAGAGGATAAAGAGTTTGAATAAAGACTAGGAAGATGACAGATGCTGTGAGCAGTGCAATGATGAAGCAGGAGAGCAGAATGTGAAGCCAGGTGTGACCAGTGAATGACAGCACCCTAGACATCCTTGGGCAGATGTAGGGTGGAGCTTAAGGAGTTTTAGTCAGATATCAGATGAAAGGTGCAGTGGGAGGACCTGGGTCCACGATCATTCCTTCCATCAGGCCTGTTCACCTGGGAGAAGTGATAGGCTATGGTAAGGCAGGCACAGGCTAAGAATCTGAGGCCACGGAATCCAGTGTTCAAACTCAGTGGCTGAGTGGCCTTTTTTAAAGTGCTTTCCTCTCTATGGGTGTCTTTGTCTTCAGATTCCTCCCAACTCTATCTTCAACACTGGCTTCTCAGTGTCTCCTGTTTACCTGAGGGTCTAACTAGCCACCAGCTGCTGTTGATTCTGTTATAACTCATGGCTATGCCATCTGTGTCAGAATAGAACTGTGCTTAGTAGGGTTTCCTATGGCTGATTTCCGGGAACTAGTCACAATGTCCTTCTTTCAAGGTGCTTCTGAGTACAATTGAACCTACAACCAAATAGCAGCCAACTGTATTAACCATCTGCACCTTGGAGGGACTGTTCTGATGGCTTAATTTCCAGCAACTGAACTCTGTTCTTATATTTCTGGCTCCCATTCACCTGTGTGTGTGTTTAAGAGAGAGACAGACAGACAGAAAGACAGGTTGACTGAAATAGCCAGAGAGCTTTACCAAGCTGGCCTTCCTTTCAAGATTTCCTTTTAAAAAAGTCTTCTTCCCTGACCGGTGATGCACACAAATGGAAACTCTGCTCTAAATCCCCACAAATGGGTTTCTCTGGCCTCTTCGACACACACACACACACACACACACACACACACACACACACACACACACACACGCTCCCCTCTGACCATCTTCCTGCTCCCCAGCTCTGTCCTTTGCATTAACTTCTTCTCTGGCCCGCAAAGCCCTGAAACTCTTCAAGGCTACATGAGACATGAACCTGGTCATAAAAGGACTCATTTTTTTTCTGACTTGTATTCACACCACAAGCTCTCTGACAGCAAAGGTCATACTGTGTTTGGACTGTACGGGTAAGAACTGCTGTATTTCTCGTGCCTGCCATGTGCCCACCACATACCTACCACATGACTTTCCTGTGCCCACAATGTGCCTGCTGAGTGATAGTCACATGCCCACTGTGTGCCCACCACGTGCCCACCATGCACTTGCTGTGTGCCCACCACATGCTTTCCACATGCCTACCATGTCTCTGCGGCGTGACCATCACATGCCCATTGCCTGACCATCACATGCCTGTGTGTGACCTCTGCATCCCCACTATGTGACCATCACATGCCTGTGTGTGACCTCTGCATGCCCACTATGTGAACATCACGTGCTTGCTATGTGCTCACCACAGCACTCGTCCACTGGTGCTCTGGGCCCCCAGTGAGCGAGTATTCTGTGGCAGGCATAAGGGAAAGAAAGATCAAGGACACGGAGTATATGCTGTAGGAATCCCCTCCAGGGATGGGGTACACAGGGAGAGACCTTACAGTGATGTGCTGAGAGGGGAACACCCTGGGGACAGAGGGCGGGGGAGGGAATACATCAGGAAGGCTTCCAAAGGAGGTGGCATTTGAACTTGGTAGATTTTACTGGTGGGAAAGTGTGGAGATGTGAAGGGTGTTCCTGCACCAGTGTGTATGGAGGGAAAGAGGCAGCCTGGGAATAGCTACCTATCATGGACCAGTCGAGTGGGACTGGAGAGAGGGGGGCTTGCTGTCAGGGCTGAGGTCAGTGGTCAACCCACTGCCATCAAGGTGATTGAGATTCATACTGAGCACAGAGCAGAACCGTCCTAAGGGTTTCCAAGACTGTAAATCTTTACAGAAGCAAATTGCCTAATTATCCCTCCTGCAGAGTGAGTTGCTGGTGGGTCTGAATCACCAGCTACCAGCTGAGTGCTTTAACCACTGCACCATGAGGACTCAGTGGTTGGATAATTTAAGTACTTAGGGAGGGAAGACAGCCTTTATCATGACACAGACAATCTGCCAATGGAGTTGGGCCCCTTCCCTGACACCCCACAGGGCCCCTCTGGGTTCCAGGATCTGGGCTTGTCTGAGGTTTCAGGCACTGACTTCTGGGTAGGACTAATCACAGCATGAACCAGGTGCTGTAGCCCTGTTCCAGGCTCCCTGGAGGAGCTGTGATTTAGAAAGACAAGCAAGTGACAGGCGTGTAGCTGGGGATCAAATCTCAGCTCTGCCTCTTCGTGGCTGTGTGAGCCTGGGCAGGTCACTGGACCTCTCTGAGCTTGATTCTTTACGTACAGCAAGGGTTACCAGTCCTAACAGCCGGGTCATGGACTGACTCGGGAAATTTGTCGGTATGGGATGTCTGGTGCTGGATTAGAGGTGGGGTCTTGAACCTGAATTCCAAGATGAGGTTACTTTTGGCAATTCAGGGCTTTACTACTGTAGGAAAAGGTGGAACAGTGATCTTTGAATATTCCTGGCTAAGTTGGCATCATGAGTGGGTGACAGTGTTCCATGCAGAGAGAGGTCCTAAAGCATGAAGCTTAATGTTCTGTGGCCTTGAAATGTGTAGCTATTCTATCTTCGAATTTGGGCTTTGTGAGTGAAACCTGTTGGGACAATGGTGCCTGCTCTGCATGTTTCTGCTTCCTGCTTCCTACACCCGGGCCTCCTCCTCCCTGGTCCTCCCTGTGACCTCGGAAGCTCTTTATTGGAGCAACAACTGGGTTGGAGCAGGAGGAAACTTGTGCTCCAGGGCCTTCATCGGCCTTTACGCAGGGGTCTTGGTGCAGGACCACAGAGGGTTAGGGTGGTTGTATCCCAGGGCATCACATGGCAGGGCAAGGTGACAGCCATTCCTATCTCAGACAGGCACTTTAGGTAGCTAACGTGGTGGGTGTCTGTCATCCACCCCTAATCCGGACACGAAGCAAGTCCCAGCACAGAAGTAGCAATCCTTTGGGGGCTGATTGTCCTCCATGGATCAGGATGGGGGTTCCTCCCCTCCCTAGTAGAACTGCAGATGGGGTCTGGTTGTCAGGACCAGCATAACCCCCAAGGCCCATGGTCCCCCAGAGCCTGCAGGACCCCAAGGTTGGAGGTGTCACGCCCCCTCCAGCCTCACTGATGGTCACCTCTGCCTTCAGCCGCTCGATCTCGATCTCCCCATCCTCAATCTGCTGCCGTAGCTGTTTGGCCACAGTTTTCTCTGTCTCCACGATCTGCAGCAAGTGGAGGTACTTCTGCATCAGTGCTTCATGCTCTGTGGCCAGGGTCCTGTAGCTGTGGACAGACAGACAGATGGACCAGGTAGGTGAGAGTCAGCCAGAAGTGGGGCTCACTCAACTACCTGCACTTAGGCGAAGCTCTCAAAGCCCAGTCTGGTTGTCGCGGCGTCTGTTTAAGGCCCGTCTCCACGCCCCTGCCCTCTGCTCCCTCCAACCTATCTTGTTCTCGTCCTCTCTCTCTCTCTCTCACACACACATACACACACCTCCCACCTCTGGGTGGACTTTTGACCTGAAATACACCTTCTCCCTGTCATTTCCTGGCCTACTTCCACCCTCTTTCCTAGGATAATTGTGAGTTCCAGTTGAAATGTCACCTCCAAGAAGTCTTCTCTGTGCCCTCTAGACAACATGAGTGTCCCCTGCGCACTCTGGAATCCATTATTACAGAATTGGCCACACACATAGGGAGTGTCCAGTTCCTTGTCTGCCTCCTCTCTGGATTCTGTCCTCTCTGAGAATAGGACTACATCTATGCTGGAGCACAGTGTGGGGCATTCAAAGTACACAGTGAACAATCACAGCCTGGCCGGACGACTGACTGGGTGGGTGGATATGTCACCTTCTGTGGGATGCCTGGAGCGTCAGGGATGTACATGCCACTGTCCAGGGTGCTTCTGTAGAAACAGCACAATCTACCACATGTCATATGGTATAGCATGAACTGAGTGCTGAGGGGTTGCAAGCAAGGCCAGCAGCCAGGGCTTGTAATCAGGCAGGCTTCCTGGATGAAGAGGCCCTTCAGTTGTAGCCTAGGTCTTCTGAGTCCAAATACAGTGCTCTAGGCACATGTCTATCAGAGGGAAGCCCTATGGGGAAGTGTTTGCTGGGGTAATTGATGCTGAGGCTGGATAGTTAGCTGGAGGCAGATCAGAGAACGCCCCGGAGGATACGCAGAGGATTTGTGTAAATGAACATGACTCAGTTTTGCAGAGTATCCGTATGAGAGGGGAGGTGGAAGATAACAAGATCATGGAGGTTCAATGACCTGCCCAAGGTCACCGGCCAGAGCCTGGACCCTGCATTCCACGTCTGCGTTTTACTCCTGGATTCCCATGCCAATAGCACCACTTAGAAAATATCAGAGCTGGGATGAAAACCAGGTCTAGCATAGGGAGGTCCAGCCCTCAAGGGGCAGAGAGACTCTGAGAAAGGGACCCCAACATCCCAGGAGAGAGTGCCCAGATGAGTGTGGGCAGGGACAGCCCTCCTACCCGACCCATTTTGTTTTGCTTTAACCTAGGGCCATCCCAGATGCCCCCCTCACCCCATCTCTGCCCACATCCTCAATATCCTCTGTTCTTATCTTTCTTTACCCCGTCTCTGAATCAGTCTCTCTTAGTCCTCTAAGCGAGCTCCATGCTTCCCACACAGTCTCAGCTTGACATGATGTGCTGATTGTGCACCTCAAACCTTCACCCCTTGTCCTACTGTGTACCTTATCCCTACCCCCTCATCTGTGGGTGACCTGTTCCTACTTTAGAGGCTGCATCTCACAGGCATTCTGTCTCTGCCTGGGCATCTCCAGGCACACCATGTCCTCACTCTAACACATGTACACTGTTCTGGCTGAGGTCCTCTACTTGTCCAGTCTGTCTGGATCCAGCTCCAGCTTCCACACTCACTGGCTGAGGGACTATGGACAGGTCATGGACCTGGCTCATAGAGTTGCTGTGGGGATTGAATGAGTGCATATACATGAATCCCCAGTGCACTAACCCCCCAGGTATGTGTTAGCTATAGCTCTACACTTTCCCTTCCCTCACAGTGCGCTCATGCTCACATTTGTGCCTGGCCCCTCCTCACGGGTCTCTGTTTCTCAAATACTGTCTCATTCTTTTGCAATGGCAGCCAATTCTGCTGTTCATGTTGCTTCTGTTTTCTTATTGCTGTCATTAGGGGCCATAGAGTTGAGTATGACTCATAGTGATCATCTGAACAATAAATCTGAACCCTGTCCTATCCTGTGCCATCCTCGTCATCTCTGACATGCTTGGACCCATTGCTGCAGACACTATTAATCCATCTCATTGAGGGTCTTCCTCTCTTCCGCTGACCATCCACCTTTCCAAGCATGATGTCCCTTTCCAAGAAATAGCCCCTCAAGCTATTCTCATGCTAAACTCTCCCTCTCCCTTACCCATCTTGCTCCCTACCACCTTCTACTTATCTCTTCCTCAGTTCTGAGTTCTCCATTTTTTTCTCCCCTTCAACTAAGTTTGTTGAAAGAACTGCTAAACTGCATTGCCCTATTTTCTCAATGCATTTTGCCTCTTGAACCTTAGGCATTCTGGCATTTGTCTCCAGCCAGGAACTGCAACCCTCTCTTGGATCCCTAACTGTCCTTATTTTGCCAACTGTATAGTCTTTTTTTAAAAAAAAATTATTTTATTCTTTTTGTGTGTGTGTGCCGTCAAATCAGATCTGACTGGTACAGGAGGAAATTGTTCCTATTTCTCCAGCACAGCATCTGGTGGATTTAAACCGCGCACCTCTGGGATTGCAGTGCAGCTTTTTGCCACTAGGCCACCAGAGCTCGTCCAACTGTATAGTCTTATACCTTAAAGATAAATAACACTCCGTAAGAGATAAGCCTTTGGTTTTAATGCTTTTTTTTTTTTATTAAAAAGATATTATGCTTCTCTTATTAAAATGAGTTTTAACTAGACTAACAGGTTTAAAAGTTTCTAATTGTCTCCACTTGCAGAGGAAATTCGGCCAAGAGCATGAAGGAGTCTGTTTTCACACCACCACACCTCTCCCCATTCCAGGGGTGTGAAGACAAGGCTTCTTCATTAGTCTGTTCTTGCAAAAGGCATCACCCCAATGGCACCGCCTCGTCACTCAGAGCATTCCAGCTTGGCTTGCTTCCTTTTCTCTCCTTCACCTCCTCTCTCTTCCTTGCCTCCCGTCTTCCTTCTCTTCCACCCAACAGTGATTTACTGAGTACCTAGGCATGCACATATTGTATTCATGGACTCTCAGAGCTAGACGGGAACTCACAGCATGAACTCACATCATCTCATTTTATAAATGAACAAACTAAGACTCAGAGAGATGAAGTGCTTCACCCCAAACAACAGTAAACTAAACATCAAAGCTGATCTGGAAATCAGCCTTCTCCACTGGCAGTGTATTTCCTCTCTATTCTCTTTGCTCATCTTTGCTCACTTTGGCATATAGCTATCCTGACTGAAATGTGGCCCTGTTTGCATTTTATACATTGCTGAATATACATACCACACAAGCATCCCATAATACGAGACTATTATAGATACAGCTTGAGAGTACACTGTGTCTCCCTTTCTATACGATATTAATATACTACAGTGTTTATTTTTGTATATAGAGTCTATATACATGTCGATGTAAATAAAAACTAATTTAGGAGCATACAGAAATACATAATACTCAATATGGTTGTGGAAGACAGCCAGACTCTCTCTTAAGACACATACACATACACAAATACATACACAACGTATGAGGCTTGAGGTTAAACAAACTTCTTGGCACAAGTAAAGAACCATTTATAATTTCATCTCTAACTATATAGCCACCAGCTCTGCGAATAAGACTATGATGGCTTATAATAGTGACTACAATAGGAAAATTGACTCCACTCTATTTACTAGTGACCATTCCTCTGCCCCCAGCTCAGACTGAAGGGAGGCATAGCTGTGAGGGTTGACTCAGATTCCAAGGCTTAGCAAAGGTATGATAGCAATAGTATACTCAATGGCTACATATCTCAACTTCCAAATGGATATGATGATGGATAGGTTTATTTATTTATTTTTAAATTATTGTATACTGGCTTACTTAGAAAGCTTTTATCCATTATTTCTCACACTGGATCTTTTCAATTTCCTTTATCCACACCTCCTTCTACCCATCAAATTCTGTGACTCTATGATTATCCCCTTACCTATCCTCACCCCTGTAGGTCCCCTACTTGGATTCTCATACATGTTTTACTAGTTACCTTTCTATTTCTACAATAATTGTTTTATAAAGTGTTTGTCCTTATGGGACTGAGTTAGTTCACTTAGCATAATGCTCTCCGGTCCTTCTCAAGTTACGCAGTAATTTTCAACATTATTGCTCCTGCATGCTGTGTAGTACCCCATTATGTGAATGTACCATAATGTCTCAATCCATTTGATGATGGTTTGACATCCGGGCTGTTTCCATGTTCTTGTGATGGTAAACAATGCTGCTGTGAACATTGGTGTACAAGTCTCCATTCATGCGTCAGTTATAATTTTCTCAGTGTCTACTCCAAGCAGGGGCATGACTGTGTCATATGGAATTTCTATGTTCAGCTTTTTAAAGAAATGCCACGCTACCTTCCAGAGTGGCTGTATGGCTGTATCATTGTACAATCCCACCAACAGTGTGTTCCTATCTCTCCACATCCTCTCCAACATTTATTACTTGCAGTCTGATTAAATTTTGCCACTGCTACTGGGATGAGATGGCATCTCTTGTGGTTTTGATTTGCATCTCTTATTGCCAGTGATTTGGAGCATTTCTTCATGTCTTTGTTGGCCATCTGAATATCTTCCTCTGTGAAAATCTTTCCATATCTTCTGCCCATTTTGTAATTGTGTTAGCAGTCTTTTTTCTTGTGGAGGCCCTGCAGGATTCTGTAAACTTTTTTTAAAATTTTTTTTATTTTATTATTTTGTGTGTGTGTGTGTGTGTACTGTCAAATTGGATCTGACTGGTACAGGAGGAGATGGCCCCTCCTTCTCCAGCAGAGCATCTGGTGGATTTGAACTGCAATCTGCAATGATTGCAGTGCAGTTTCTTACCACTAGGCCACCAGAGCTCCCCTAGGATTCTGTAAACTTTTAATATGAGACCCTTGTCTGAAATAGTATTGCCAAATGTGTTTTCCCAACCAGTAGTTTTTATTTTCATTCTACTGGAAAATATTTTTGAAATGCACAGGGATTTAATCTTTAGAAGGTCCCATTCATCAATTTTATC